ATAGATAGATAGATAGATAGATAGATAGATAGATAGATAGATAGATAAGCTTAGAGCCAACGACAGACTCTGCTTTTGTGATGACTGAGTCAGTCTGTTGGTGTGCTGTACCTTGACCCCCGGGTTTCTTTGTGTGCAGTACGGGAAGAAGGAGGCGGGTGATGTGGGCCACGTCCCCCCCGGCTGGGACCAGTGGCACGCTCTGGTGGGTGGGGCCCAAAGCCCAGGTGGAGCTCCTGGTGTGGGGCTCTTTTCTGGGGGCTCACGCTGCTGCTTCTTTTCCAGGTGGGAAACTCCCAGTACTACAACTACACGATGTCCGTTAACGGCAAGGAGGAGAAGCACGGAGACAGCTACGAGCGGGACTACCTGACCGACCTGATAGTGAGTCCCACATCCTGACCTCCGCCTGACCTCTAACCGACCTCTGCCTGACTCCTGCACGACATCTGACCTCTAAATGACCTCTAACCGACCTCTGCCTGAATCTTACATGACTTCTGACCTCTAAATGCCCTCTCACCGACCTCTGCCTAAATCCTGCATGACCTCTGCTAATATCCTGACCTCTGCTCGACCTTTTAAACCACCCCTCCCTGACCTCTGCCTGAATCCTGCATGACCTCTGACCTCCAAATGACCTCTAACCGACCTCTGCCTGAATCTAACATGACCTCTGACCTCTAATCGACCTCTGCCTGAATCCTCCATGACCCCTACCTGATCTCTGCATGACCTCTGACCTCTAAATGCCCTCTAACCGACCTCTGCCTGAATCCCGCATGACCTCTAACTACTGCCTGACCTCTAACCGACCTCTGCCTGAATCTTACATGACTTCTGACCTCTAAATGACCTCTAACTACTAGGGTTGTCACGATACTAAAATTTTCAACTCGATACCGATACTCAGGAAAATACTCGATACTCGATACCATTTTCGATACCGCAAGGATTAAAAAAAGACCCCAAAATTTAAATGAATTTTGACAGGTTAGTGTATTTCACTTCAAACTGACCTGTTACTAATGTTATCGTGACTGGTGGCCTGCATTAATAACCCTAACCCTAACCCTAACCCAAACCCTAACCCTCCACCCTTCATAATTGTGAGAAATAAATATTTTTTTGTTAAACTTGTTTGGACTTATTGTACAAACCTATTTAACATACACTATTTTAACATAATAATATGCATAGAGTTTAATTAAGTGTTTGAAAGATTAATTTCACAATTTTTAAATTCATCTCTATATTGCCATGAGGCAATTAGGATTTTCTTGCCTGGAATCTTCCTATTGTTAATGTAACTATAATGGCCGACTTCGATGTGGGCGGAGTCGGATATGTACTAAATTAATGGTATCACGTTATTATTAGCCATTAGCCGAAGTTAGCAGTTCAAGCATAACAACTTGTTAATGATCATAAACAACGTAAATAAATCAGAGAGAAGTGAGAAATGAGTATCGTATCCGGATACAACATTTTAGTATCGATACTTTTTTGAGTATCGATACTTTTGACAACCCTACTAACTACTGCCTGACCTCTAACGGCCCTCTTCCTGAATCATTCATGACCTCTAACCGACATCTGCTTGAATTCTGCATGACCTCTATCTACTGCCTGACCTCTAACTGACCTCTGCCTGAATCATCCATGACCTCTTACCGACCTCTGCCTGAATCCCGCATGACCTCTGATTTCTGCCTGTCCTCTAACTGACCTCTGCCTGAATCCTGCATGACCTATGACCTTTAAATGACCTCTGCCTGATCCCCATGACCTGTGACTTCTGCATGACCTCTAACTGTCCTCTGCATGACGTCTGAGCTCTGCATGACCTCTAACTGACCTCTAACCGACCTCTGTATGACCTCTGTCGGCTTTAAATGGACTTTATGGGAGGAAATGACTCCAAACTGCCCGAATCAGCTGTTTACTAGCATAAAAAGCCCTCGAGGCTTCAGGTTGGGGTTAATCATCTTCCCGGCAGAGGACCAGACCGGCTTTTCCGGGCGTTTTAGCTTCTGACGGCTAAGTTTCAACCGTTTGTAGCTTCCTGGAACAGGAGCTTTGCAGGCTCATACACGCAGGAATGAAGCGTAACAGGTGCTCTCATTCAGCATGAGCTTTAGGGGATATGCGTCAGTGTTCACGGCTTTTAGTTTCATTTTAGAGTTTTAATTTATCTGTAATTTTAAGCCGACCAATCAGAGGAGACGGGGAGGAATGACTCGATTTGTGAGTTTCTGGTTTAAAACCTTTGGAAAATCAGCCTCGTCCTACTTTTCTTTGCTTTAAATGTTGGTTCATCACGAGAAACTGACCCTAAATAAAGAAAATGCACCAATACTAGATTAACCTTCACTTTTAAACGGGATATTTCATGTTTTATATGTCGTTTTTTACTGTTTAAGATATGAAAAATGCTCCAGAAACGGTTCTGAATGGAAAACCTTCACTTCTTGTAAATAATTTTCCTTTTTTCCCGGGAGTTTTTTATCCAATTTGTCTCACTGAGGTAATTTTGTAGCTTTTTGTCATTTTGTGTATCTTTGTGATGGTTTTATATTTTTTTGTAGACTCTTTCCTGGTAGTTTGTGTCATGTGAGTTTCTTTGCCATCTTTTCTACCCATTTGTGGATATTTTGTGTCTTTCTGGTGTTACTTAGTTTCTATTTGAGGATTTTTTTCCGTATCTTTGTGATGATTTACATCCTTTTGTAGATGTATTGTTGTTGTTTTGATAGTTTTTCTGTCCTTTTGTGTTAAATTAGCTTCATGTGGTTATTTTTTGTGTTTCTGGGGTTTTTGTTTTGTGGTCATTTTGCTTGTCTTTTTTTTAAACATTTATCTTTTGTGTGTGATTTGTTTGTGTCTGATGTGTCTGTTTGAGGTTATTTTATGCTAATTTTTGATGGATTCATGCCTTTTTTTCTAGGCTTTTTCCCCTTTTTCTTCTATAGTATTCTGACTGAGCCTCTTTGTGCGGCTGATCCAGTATTTTTCTGTCTCTAATCCCTCGTCTGCTCCTATAGCTGAACCGGTCGCTCCACTTCCTGGACGACCGGAGCCCCCAGCACCCGTTCTTCATGATG